TGTATTTTAACATCGTCCTTGTAGTTTTATAAGCTGATAATTAAACTGAAGCAAACATCTTTACTGTGAACTAAATTTACTGTGTATCTTCATTCCTTTTGCCGTCCTTTTTCATTTGATTTTTCCTACAGGGAAGTTAGAATTTCCCAGGAGAAAGCGAACGCACCATTAGCTGATAACAACGGTGGCAATGGAAGCTAGCATATCAAGCTAACGTTATCTTAAACAGTTTATTTAGCTGCTGGAGCAGATTAAAACGATGATGCCTCACACTTTGATCGTTGTCGCTGATTTCATCTTCACCCAATCACCCGTCACATTTAGTAAAGTGAAGCCAAACTTTAGAGCGTGTTCATGTTCTTCTAGTCGGAAATTCGGAGTTCCGAGGAGAAAGCAAACGCACCATTAGCGAAACGGAAGCTAACATATCAAGCTAACGTTATCTTAAACATTTTATTTACCTACCGGAGCAGATTAAGATGAGGATGTCTCACTTAGATCGTTGTCGTTGGTTTCATCATCACCCAGTTACCCATCACATTTAGTGAAGTGGACCCGAGCTTTAGCGTGCGTTCTTTCTGCCATGCTGCTCTGTTTACAACTCGCTCGCAGTGACCGACGACATAACGCTCTTGCGCATGCGCAGCTGTCTAGGCAAGTTCTCGTTATGAAGGACCGGTACTGAAACGAGGCACCGTTTGAAATGACGTGAATCGGTGCTCGGTCGGTACTGTGGAATTCGGTCGGTACCTTAAAAAGTACCGAATTCGGTACCCATCCCTAGTTCCATGGCCTAAACACGTCCACTCTGGCAGGTTGTGCATTTGTTGAGAAGATTCGACATCACCTTTCCTTAGGAATTCAGGAGGTGGGCCCCCTATTTAAAAAGGGGAACCGCAGGGTGTGCTCCAACTAGAGGGATCACACTTAGCCTCCTCTTGAGTTTTCTCTGCAGGGTGGCTGGGCTCTCCCTTAGAGATAGGGTGAGAAGCTCGGTCATCTGGGAGGGGTGAAGGGTAGACCCAGTGTTTTCCCTTAGGCTCAGGCGTGGTGCTGCGCCCCCAGCTGACAGCGGAAATATTTCTAGGGGAAACACTGAGACCCGCTGCTCCTCCAAATCGAGAGGAGCTAGTTGAGGTGGCTCGGTCATCTGGTCAGGATGCCCCCTGGATGCCTCCCTGGTGAGATTTTCTGGGCACGTCCAACCAAAAACCAAAGCCTGTAGCAGAGCGTTTTTTCGTCAACAATGACGAAGACTAAATAATTTTGTTTATGCCCCTTTTTCTCATTATGAAAACAAGACACATCGCCCAACACAGCCGCTTATTGAGGAAGTAAATTTTAAGAATTATGAGCAACAAGGCTACATTTAAATATATTTGTAATATTTACAATTCCATATCATGAAAATAAATCAACTTTTTTGGGCTTTTTACCATGTGATAGTCATTTCAATTCAATTCAAAAATACTTTATTAATCCCAGAGGGAAACTGATTGCTGTAGTAGCTCAGAATAATAATAATAATCAAGTCATCAAAGAGGTGTTGTATATTACAATGGCTGTTGGCAGGAAGGATCTCCAGTAGCGGTCAGTGTTGCAGCCAAACTGAAGAAGCCTCTGACTGAAGACACTCTTCCGTTGTCGGACAGTCTTGTGGAGAGAACGCTCAGGGTTGTCCATCATGTTCTTCATTCTCTGGAGAATCCTTCTTTGCATTATCTCCTCCAGCGGTTCCACAGTCGTCCCCAGAACAGAACCAGCCTTTGTTATTAGGCTGTTGAGCCTTTTCAGGTCCCTGCTTCTGATGCTGCTACCCCAACAGACGATGGCTGAAGAGATTACACTCTCAACAACAGACTTGTAGAAGATCTGCAGCATCTTGCTACAGACACTGAAGGACCTAAGCGTCCTCAAGAAGTGCAGTCTGCTGTGTCCCTTCTTGTAAACGGCTTTGCTGTTCTTTCTCCGGTCCAGTCTGTTGTCCAGGTGAACTCCAAGGTATTTGTATTCCTCAACCACCTCCACTTCTTCTCCCATGATGGAAACAGTGTTTGACTCCACCCTGTTTCTTCTGAAGTCTAAAATCATCTCCTTTGTTTTGTTCACGTTCAAGGTCAGATGATTGTTTCCACACCATACCACAAAGTGCTCCACCAGCTCTCTGTACTCAGCTTCCTGTCCATCTCTGATACACCCGACAACTGCAGAGTCATCTGAGTATTTCTGTAGATGACAGGTCTCTGATTTGTACTGGAAGGCTGAGGTGTACAGGGTGAAAAGGAATGGTGAGAGTACAGTCCCCTGTGGTGCTCCGATGTTACTGATCGCCTGGTTTGATGTGCAGTTCTTCAGCCTCACAAACTGTGGTCTGTTTGTCAGGTAGTCTTTAATCCAGGCGATAGTTGAGGCCCCCACCTGTGTCTTCTGGAGTTTCTGGCAAAGTACATCAGGCTGGATTGTGTTAAATGCACTGGAGACCTCAAAGAACATGACCCTGACAGTGCTGCCTGCTTTGTCCAGATGACAGTGGGTTGGTTGAAGCAGCTGGATGATGGCATCTTCAACTCCAACTCCATGGCGATAAGCAAACTGCAGCGGGTCCTGATATGTTCTAGTTTGCTTATTCAGGTGGACCAACAGGAGTCTCTCCAGGACCTTCATGATGTGGGATGTCAGGGCAACCGGTCTGTAGTCGTCATTGACTGATGGGCGAGTTTTCTTTGGAACTGGAACAAGGCAGGATGTCTTCCACAGGACTGGATCCTTCTCCTGGTCCAGGCTGAGGTTGAAGAGGTGCTGCAGAATCCCACAGAGCTGCTCTGCACAGGCCTTCAGTACTCTGGGGCTGACACCATCTGGACCTGCCGCCTTGTTCCTGTTCAGTCTCTCCAGCTGCCTCTTCACCTGACTTCTAGAGACATATAGGTGGGAGGGGGAGGTAACTGGGGCAGCAGCATCTCCTGACTTGGTTGAAGACAGATTTATAGAACCAGAAGAGTCCATGACTGCGTTAGAGGACAAAAGAGCTGGCATGTGACAGGAAAATGTTGGATCAGAGGAGGACGGGCTGGGGACAGGCGAGGAGGATGCTGGGTTTGTTCCTGAACTGAACCTATTGAAGAACTTGTTCACTTCATTGGCTGTGTCCAGGCTGCCATCTGTGCAATCCTTCCTCTGCTTGAAGCCTGTGATCTTCTTCATCCCTGACCAGACATCTCTGATATTGTTCCTCTGTAGTCTGTTCTTGACGGAGATCCAATCCAATTCATCCCCTTTAGGACTTTGCAGACGTCAGCATATCGCAACTGCTTTGGCAGTGATTCATGTCACTGATCAGCGCCAATAAGCTTCCTCAGTAACATTAATAACATTAAATGTTTTATTTTATCAAAGGCGAGAGCTGCTGTGTGATACGGCGTTCAATGACCAGAAAAAGTGCAGTTTTTTTCGTGCAGCATTCTGTGGTACAACAAAGCCCCGTTAGGTCGTTGTGGAGAAAGTTTCCCCCGTTATCCGGTATCGGGTGTTTAATTTAAAATGGTGCTTATTTTCTTTTGCTTCCAGTCTGCTTCACCAGCAACAATTTTACTGATGCAGGTTGTTTTCAACTACGTCTGCTGATGCAGTTTCCTATTGAGTTACAACCAATCACAATTAGTTAAACGAAGGTATAGCTCAGCTACTCCATCGAGCCATTTTGAGTACCTACCCCTGATCAGGTACTCAAAAAGTTCTTGAAAAAGCCCGGAAAAAGGTAGGGATGCACCAATTGATCGGCATTTGATCCCAATCGGCCGATAGCGCCCCTATCGGTTTTGATCGGAGTTTTCAAAATAGATCAAAGCAGACCGATCAGGTAGGGTTGTCACGGTAACCGATGAAACGGTAAACCCCGGTAAAAAAAAAAGTTGACAATAATAATAACCGTCTTGTTTTTTAAAAACTATATTATCTTGGTGGATTACCGTGGCTGCGGTGTAGGCGCGGTGACCCTTACCAGCCACCGTATCATCTGCTGAAGTTGCCAGCGGCACATGCGCACTTTGTTGTTTACAACCAAAACTTTCTTGAAGCTAAAGCTGAAATAATGGCCAAAGGAGGAGACGGCAGCGCTCAGGACATTTATTATCCCTCAAAGAAGACAAAGTCGGAAGTATGGGCATATTTTGGATATTTGAAGAATGCCGAGGGACAGCTGATAGAAGACGGCTATCCTGTTTACAGCACGTGCAGAAAAAGTGTCTGTGAAAGGCAGCAACGCTTCAAATCTCATGACACATCTGCGTGACCATCACCCACAACTCTACAGTCAACGCAAGGCAAGCTAACGTTAGCATTTTAGCTAAAATGCGTGATCCGAGGATTTGGGTTGAGGGAGAATGCAACGAGTCGCTATATGAAGCAGCCGCAGCGCCGCTACCTGCATATAAACCGTGTCACGGACACCGCCATGTTGAAATGACGCTATGCATTACGGGGCTCCCAGGGGCAGATAAGAGTTGGTCTCTCTCCGAGAATAATTATGAATTTAACAATGATTACTGCCTGATGACATTTTCCCACATCTGCAAAGCTCACTGGAAGGACACAAACCGAGGACAATATTTTCCTGATATAGGGTTTATTACTCAAGTAAGGGTAAAAAAGTATCTGATTAATTCAATTCAATTCAAAAATACTTTATTAATCCCAGAGTGAAATTGGTGGTGAGCGCATTAAGAGGTGGAGGAGAATGAGACAAATTGGTACAGAATGAACAAACGTAGCCACGTAAGGCCTAGACTGCAAACACAAAGGATCCTTATGGAACAATAATTAACTGTAGAAAAGGACTGGGTGGAGTTTAGAGAGACACTGATCCATCAAGTCCATTCTGCACTTGTGTCCAAACTCAATACATGCATGTGTAGCAAGCAAAGCTCACTGCCACTGAACACCGCACACACACCGTTACACTCTCGCAGGCCTGCCCAGTCCAATCCAGCAGAGTACCGTACCTATCACTGGGGACCTTTGGGTCTCTTAATCTGCTTCCAGACTGGAAGGCCTGGTAGAAAGCCATGGAGGGGTTCCTGTGGAAACCACATCCGAGGAAAAGAGAAGAGACAGACAGTGAAGAGTTGAAACAGTGAAAACAGTTTGAAAAATGAGACAGCTACTTTAAGCTCCAGGGGAATCTCTTTAAGCAGGAAGTAAAGTTTCTATTTAAGTGAGTGTTTACTACCTAGACAAGGATGTAATTTAGGGCTGCACGATATTAGGAAAACCTGCGATATTCAATAACAGTGCTTAATATTGCGATATCAATATTACTCACGATAAATGAACAAATACTAAAGTATGCAGTGTTGATGTCGTCTGGCGTGTGACGTCTGCTCTGGGTTCAAAGCAAACAAAAACTAATGCATGAATTCCATTACAACATAACATTTTTATTGCAAAATTATGCAGCTGCACCCGCTACTGTATTAGCAGCTACACCCGCTACTGTATTAGCGGCTGCACCCGCTACTGTATTAGCGGCCGCACCCGCTACTGTATTAGCGGCCGCACCCGCTACTGTATTAGCGGCTACACCCGCTACTGTATTAGCAGCTACACCCGCTACTGTATTAGCAGCTGCACCCGCTACTGTATTAGCAGCTGCACCCGCTACTGTATTAGCGGCCGCACCCGCTACTGTATTAGCGGCCGCACCCGCTACTGTATTAGCGGCCGCACCCGCTACTGTATTAGCGGCCGCACCCGCTACTGTATTAGCGGCCGCACCCGCTACTGTATTAGCGGCTGCACCCGCTACTGTATTAGCAGCACCCGCTACTGTATTAGCGGCTGCACCCGCTACTGTATTAGCGGCCGCACCCGCTACTGTATTAGCGGCCGCACCCGCTACTGTATTAGCGGCCGCACCCGCTACTGTATTAGCGGCCGCACCCGCTACTGTATTAGCGGCCGCACCCGCTACTGTATTAGCGGCCGCACCCGCTACTGTATTAGCGGCCGCACCCGCTACTGTATTAGCGGCCGCACCCGCTACTGTATTAGCGGCCGCACCCGCTACTGTATTAGCGGCCGCACCCGCTACTGTATTAGCGGCCGCACCCGCTACTGTATTAGCGGCCGCACCCGCTACTGTATTAGCGGCCGCACCCGCTACTGTATTAGCAGCCGCACCCGCTACTGTATTAGCAGCCGCACCCGCTACTGTATTAGCAGCTGGACCTGCTACTGTATTAGCAGCTGCACCTGCTACTGTATTAGCAGCTGCACCTGCTACTGCATTAGCAGCTGCACCTGCTACTGTATTAGCAGCTGCACCTGCTACTGTATTAGCTACTGATTTTCTGAGGGAAAGAGAAAAACAATTGTCTACCTTTCAGAAGAGGAACTGGCAAAAAACTACATGGAAAATATGTGAAAACGATTGTTTTTAACCCCAAATTGAACAAGCTTACCTAGATCTTAAAAAGCAGCTCAGATGATGAAACTGCAACTATGATTCTGATAACAAGCTAACAAACTGAACTAGCCCCTCTAAGATAACCGGCTAGCAGAGCTTCTGACTGACAGTTTATGTGCAGCAGCAAATCAACTATCCTGATTAACAAGGTTATAAAAGCTCATAAATGAAAAATCACTTTGATGTGTGGGGGAACTTTTCCAGGCCCTCTTTAGCAGGGTGGGACTGGGAGGAGAGTGCTGTAGCCTTTTAGCTGGAAGCTAACCGGAGCCTGGGGCTAACACTAGCGACATGGAGGTGGGTTGGTTCACCGGCACCTTTCGGAGTCAGCCCGGTTATTATCAGCTGCTTAACGACACCAAGCGGACTCACGTTCGCGTTTGAAAGCAGCGCTGATTCCAGAAACCTCAGCACAAAGTGCGTTCGTTGCTCTGAGCCAGCATGACGAACAAGGGAACAGCGCCGCTAATGTTCTGGTGTTGCTTTCCATCCTAAGGGTCTACGTAGGGGGCGGGCGTATAACGTGAACGGACCCATCTGATTGGCCGCATATCAGAAGGGCTACATTTGATTGGTCAAATAATACTTCCGTGTAAAAAACAGAGCTGGTTTACAAAAAGTTGATGTATGACACGGATGGAAATGTTGAACCAAACATTTATCGCCGTTTTTGACGTGCTTTGCGATGGGCCTATCGCACGTCCTGTTATCCCGATGACGATATTTTTTCGATACATTGTGCAGCCCTAATGTAGTTAGTCAAGTTCTGACCCCTGCACGTTTTACCGTCCAAAAACAATAATTCGCTGTATTAAACAGACACTGGTTGAGCACTAGGACCAAGCGGAAAACAACCGTTTGTGTTGAAGCCTGCTTCCCAGTAGAACATACAGTAAAGACACCCTCCACCCTTCATGCCGCTTGGTATGACATGAATGCGTATTTAGGTTTTATGAATATGTAAATTGATCGAGTTTTTAGAACTTAGCGATTTTAGTATCTGCTGCTTCACAACGCTGTCTTGTGTCCCCCCCCCCCACTCCTTAAATCAAAACTACGTCCATGTACAGAGATAACGGTTATAATTTTACAGATGCTTGATATTTGATCATTGCTGATGTTCATTTGAAACATGGCAACCACTTACCAGAAGAGATCTTGTGATACTATGGTTCTTGTGATATTATGGTCCTTCATGCAACTTAATGGACGGGTTATTTTTAAGATGTGAACAATAAACCAAGGCGTTCTGTATTCCTCTAAGAATGAATGTCAGGCTTCACTGCAGCATTAAGCAGGATTCAGGAATGTAAAGCAGAGGAGTGGAGGAGCAAGACCTGATCCGAACTCAGGGATGGATGTTAAAGGTGGGGACAACTACATCAGCTTTACAGGTCTCCTCCATCTGTCCACTTTACAAGCCAACGCTCCTCACCACTTGTATAAAAAAGAGCAAACATTTAGAAGTGTTTCATCATTCAAACCATTTTTATGAACGCTACTCTGACGGCTTCACTGTGGACAAAGTTGCAGGTGAAATCTTTCTGATTACAAATCTGGTCTAAACAATTTATTTGACACAGGAGAAGTTCATATTTTAGTATATAAGAGAGAACTTTTTTGAGTAACTAACTACTTTCCAGGTTTGTACCAATACAGTTCCAACGGGGTGTGTAAGTGAGGTTTCTGCAGTTGCTACGAGGACATCATGTTCCACACCAACCAATGTATGTGGGGGCGGGAACGGAAACCCCCCTCTTTCCCTGTTGATGTGCACGTACACACACACACATTGATTTACGTGTGTGTGTGTGTTAGCAGCCAAAATGCTTTTCCTAGAAATCTCTGGCACGAACTGCCTTCGTCACATTACCTCATGTGAAAACACTCCGATGGCTCTGCTGAGCATCAATCTGTGGGCATCAGAGAAAATCTACCCCCCCCCCCCATCTCTCTCTCTCTCTCTCACACACACACACACACACACACACACACACACACGTGTACATCCAGAGAAAACCTGTTTTCTTTTTCGTCAGCTGGAACTTAAGAGAGCTCTGTGAGTCCATCGGCTCAGAACAACAAAATCAGATGACTCCGAGTAGTCCTGGTGACTGCGGCCAGAACCCGAGTCATCATTCCCAGTTTTCAAGCAGCAGACGCTTGACACTCAATGATCCTCTTTGTAAGTCAAGGGTGCAACAAGTCAGTATGAATTTATTGAAAGCTGCCTTTTGTTAACAGAAAATGGAGGCTCCTGCATAAGCCTAAAGTTCAGAAAACAGCAGAAGAAGAAACCCGCTAAACACAAAACGCCAAGAGTCTATCTGCTGTTTAAAGAAAATGAGGCTAACCCAGAAGAAATTATGATCACACGTGCTAAGAATTTGAAACAAACTGCCTGAAAGCAAACGTATGACCTGGCAACACACCAAAAAAACCTTCTGGCACATTTTTGGGGTTGATGTCACACATCTGGGTATGACACATTTTTTACCCCCGCTCTTTGACAACCACAGAATCAACTGCTGGTCCCAATAGAAGCCAGATGACTCACTGATGATTAGAAGAACACCTAAACAGCTTTCTGAGCTTCTTGCTGGGAGACACCAGTGCTTCCCTCTGCTCCACCTTGCAGTCCTCAATACGTTCAACAAAAAATGAACAAAAATACAGATTTTATCATTTGAAATCTGACAGGACTGTACGTTAACATTTTT